GAAGTATATTTCAAAAGAAAAACCTTAATCTGCCAAGATACCGTAGCTTAATCCCTTGGGTTTATTCATTTTTAATTCCGTAAATGCATGCTAAATATTTTACAAGCACACTTTCTCTGTGTGTATAATCAGCACATGCTATAAATGTACATAAAACTACTCACATTTTGCCGCAGTAAATGTATTTATCAATTTGCAATTGCAAGCAGCCGGGCAAAGCAGACAAAAGAGAAATCTCTGGAAATTACATTTTATTGCCATGCGGTTTCTATATATATTTTATTTTCCCCCGATTTTCCTCAGCTAGAGAGAGTCTCTCTTGAACTCCTTTTCTGGAGATAAAGTCAGGTGCACTAAATAACTTGGCGGCAGGCACTCCTTCTGCTTTAGAGAGCTCAGTTTCAGGAAACTTTGCAAAGTTCGGGCTTGAGCTTGGAGTGTGTGTGTGTTGGCCACGAATTACTTTTTTAGCCATTGCCTGGCAGTTTAAAGTTAAGCCAAGTCGTTGAAAAGTTGGCTTTGCGGCCAACGGAAGCCCTAAGGGCTTCAAAATAAATGTGCTGTGAAAGTCAATCAAGTGTTGCAACATCGACTTTCTATCCGATGCAATTTCAGGGGCCACTTTCTCCCGGAGTTTTCCCTCGGTTTTCCCCGGAGTAACGGCATTTACATCTTGATTGCAATTGATAGGTGGTCGGAAGTGCAAGTAAAGCGGACGAGAGAGAGATAGTTAAAAGCGCCTGGCTTTTCCTATTAAATATTAATCAGGCTGCACAAGTGGCCAGCCCAGAAGCTGGAGCTGAAAGCAATTTGTAAAGTGGAAATCAATTCGGTAATTAATTAGGCAAGAATTAAGCGAAGAGTTTCCTCAGTTGAAAATAGTTTTTGTAAGTTTCAAGCTCAACTTGTTTATATTTTTCTTTATTTATTTAAAACTTTCCTGAGCTACCTGATGTTTTTCCGTATTTTTCTCATTTTCCTTTTGCTTCTCTGTTGGCCTACAAAATAATTGCCTACTTTCTGGGCCCCCCAAAACTTCATCAGAATGCTGGCGGCATTTTAAAACCCTTGGGAATAAGTTTCCTTTGCTTGTATTTCCGCAACTCCCTCCCTAGTCCGCCCTTTCTACCCCAAATTGCGATTCTAAAATTATACAAATTAATTTGGGAGCGACAATTGCGAGTGAAAAACCAAGGGGAAAGCAAGGAAGACTGAGGGAAAAATCCCAAGGCGGGAGGATCTATTTCGACTGCCACTTCCTGTCTTTGGCGGGGCGTCGTCTGTGGGCGTGGCATCGCATTAATTATGCTCAAGTGTCCGCCGGGAAAGCGGCCAACACTTGTTTCATAATGACTTTTGTACCATCACTCGTAACGCCCCCCGGAAAATGGAAAAGAGGGAGTGACTTTTGATTTGATTTGATTTAGAATCCAAAGTCAGAGAGAGGCTTTAAGAGCCAGAGGGAAAGATGAAAGGATTTTAATGCATAGAACTAAGCGTCAACAGTCAAAGTCAAGCTGGAAATTTATCGCTCCAGCAGCAGCAGCAGCAGCAGCAAGGCCATATATCAGAGATTTATGTCAGCATCATCACCCACCTAAGAGGCAGACGGATGTGGGGGCGGCCATAGAGAAAGTAGCAGCAGACAATGAACCAACTACTATAAACCCAAAAAGAAAAAACAAAAAAAACGAAAGTAAATAAAAACAAAGAGCGCAAATGTACAAGAAAAACACAGAAATGAAAAGCGAAAAGAAAAACTGAAATTGGAGAGCGTAAAAATGAAATTGAGCAGCAGGCTCCAGTCTATCTATATGTATGAGTTTGGAGAAAAGTGGAAGAGCAAATGGAAAGCAAATTGTAAACCTTATCAGGGCGCATCCTGTGTAGTTTCAGGATGAGACCGAGAAGGCGGATAAACTGGATGAAGGCGCAAACATGCAAATAAATCTGTGCATCTCCCAGAACTTGGCTCTACTTAATTTGATTGAAGAAAAAGGAAAACACCGAAAAAATGAGAAAAGTGAGAGCGAAAAGGGAGTCGGGGTGACTGCTCACATTTCCTCTTGGTGGAGAGAATAAAACTTTAATTCCCTGGAAAAAGTTGTCAACGAAAAAAAAAACAACAAAATAGTTTTCCCAAAAGAAATTATTCCGCGAAACTAGGGAAAATAGCAAAGTCATTAGGAAAATGGAGGCAAATTATTTGGAAATCTTTGGAGATTTTTAAACATTAATGGAATTTATTGACTCCAATATGAATTAGGTATGACTTATTTCTCACAGTGTCCCATTCCGAAATGTCATTGATTTATTCCTTGTCTTGTGCAAAAGAATTTCCTTCTTTAATACATCCATTTCATTACTCATTCTCTCATGTTTCGTTTGATTTTTCTCACATTATTCAGCTGTTCCCTGCTGCTTTTATCTTTATTCTGGCTTTCCATTTTCCCCCCGCACTCCACTCGCATTTATTTGTTCTCAATTACTCTCACATCTTGAGCGCCGCCAACGTTTTTAAAGCTTAACAGCATTTTTCCACCCACTTGGCTGCTGAAAAGTAATAATAAAAATGTATACATATACATAATATAAAGAAGAAAAAGCGAAATTTTTGCAGCTCTTATTACCATTTCTGTGGCTTGTTACGCTTTAGCCCATTTTTCTGTGCCATTTGTTATTGTTGTTTTACGTACTTTCCCGTACTGCCGCAATTTTAGATATTTCTTTTAGTCGGTCAAGGAAAAAAAACAAAAGGAAAGGGACACACGACTATGAGATACCCGGTAATTAATAAACAAAGATTTAGCTTAACATTTAACTATTGATCTTTTTGAAAACATCATTTCCTTTTATTTATTTATTTTTGGTATACAATTAGAATACCATTTATTTAAACTTTAAAGTGCGGTATACCCTTCTTAAACCCTGAACTCGTAACAGGTATGAAAACCAGAAACAGAAATTGTGGCCAGCAAAAAGTTGAAGTTTATTTATTCTGCTGTGGGTGTGGAGAATGGCCAGTGGCTGGAGTGGAGGAGACTGGACCAAAGACACGGGGAAACGCGAAGCAGAGGGACGAAAGCCACCTGCACTTTTTCTTTCACGTGCCAACGACCACGAGCCACTTTTTCCAGAGAAAACATGGTTCGGGAGGGGTGGGGTGGGGAAAATGCCTGGACTTTCATTATATGGCCAGAAAACGCAGAAAACTTTTCACTCGCCATTCTCCTTGTTTCTCGTTTTGGCCTGCGGCTCTGGCTGCAGGTATTTATATTTAAATGCGGCCTGCGGTAAGCCATTGCGCCTATTGTTATGCAATGAAAGTTTCGGGAACAGAAACTCTCCCTTAACCTCAATTTCGAGCGAGCGCGCTCTCTCTTTCTCTGTTTCTTTTTTTTTTTGGGATGTTCCAATAACCAGCTCAGACAATTTTCATAAATTTTGCCCGGGAGCCCATCATTTCCCTTTGCGGTTTCATGTGTCTAACGCAGCCATTCCACGGCTTCAGCTTCAGCTTCGGCACCGACCTTCAACGTCAACGTTTTTATTATGTTATTGACTTCTAACCACATTTTCACACCAAATAAATATATGTGTCCTTGACAGGAAAGGACACACACAAGCAGGCAGAGATAAATACGGGGAGATAGGAGTGGGAGGCCTAGACTGGCGGGGAGTAGGAGGAAAAAAACGTTTAGAAAACTCAGTGAGCCATAATTTGTTTTGGTTCCACCTTGCCCGCTCTCCTTTATATTTTTTCTGGCATATCTGGCTTTCCAATATTCAGCACGAGGCAGACAGACTCTAGATAAACGTATATCTTAAAGTAGTTACTATAAAGTTAATACAGCTAAAGAAAAAATTTAAAACTTTAGCTTGGGAAAATTTAAAATGGAAATAATTAAAGCCTAGAGAGATTAAATAATACTTGAATTCAATTAATTTCGATCCTATTATCTTGCTCCTTGCTGTAAATATTTTGTATAGTATGTGACCAACATCTTCCATAAATATAAATTTGTATATATGTATATGTTGACGCACAAAAAGTGTTTGCCCAAGTCTTGGTGCCTTTTTGGGTTTTTCTTTCTCTTTGTTATTTGTTTTTTACACATTTTTTTCTGTGTGGCTGGCAAAGTGAAATTTATTAGAAACGCAAAATCTGTTTGCAGATTGTGTATAAGATTTGATTATTTATGGTCAGTTGTTTGTTATGGCCAGCTAGCAGAAGCCAGCACTGAAAATTGGCCAACAAAACAGGGCAGAAACCGCGGCTGGAAGGGGGCCAAGGAAAATGCAAAGGACAGATAGCGAGAAAACTGGCCAAAAGTTGATTTATGTAAATTTTTCTGTGTGTTTCACCCACAAAAGTTGAAGCGGATATGTTGTGAAAATATTTTGAATTTTAATCAATAAAAATATGTATCTCAATGCAGGCAAAAGTGTACATTTGTTTGTTCAAAACTCTACAAATTTCGGACAAAATTTTAGATAATAAATATCGAAAAAGCAGACCAACTACAAATATTGATAGTTCTTGTGACTAAAAAATAATAAAATACACCAAAAAATAAAGTAAGTTAAGATTAAACAAGAGTTTGTATACATAAAAACTTGGTTTAAGTTTCACAAAACTGAATTCCGTTTCATTTCCAAAAGGCAAATCCTCAGAGATACCCAAAATTAATCAGGGAAAATTCCCCCACAACATTCTTAGCCTGCTCCTCACCGATTTCCCAAGCTAGACACAACTTTTGCATCCACTAAATTAAACTAGGAAAAAATTCCCGCAGCTCACAACACAGGGCAAAAACTCTTCAACGCAAATTCAACTAATTAACTTAAGGCTCCTCGAAGAAGCAACCAAAGCAAAGCCAGACCGTTCCTCCCCATCAACAACAGGAAAAGCAAATAATTTTCAACAAATTTAACTAACGCCGAAAAAACCAACTTTGCCCCGTTGTTGCTTTCAGAATTAACCCAGTGGAGAGCGGAGAACGCGGAGAGCAGCAGAGAAATAGAGAAGAGCAACGGAGAACTGGAGAACTGGAGCGTGAGGCCAAACTAAACAGCAGGTAAGTTGGATAAACAACTCCAATCGCAATTAACGCTCAAGGGGCTGAAAGCCCCCCGGATTCTGGATTTCGGTAGTGGAATTTGGCTGCCCCCCGGGAAAAAAATGTCATTCCATTTGGGAGATTTCCTTTTTCGCCGACTATTTTCGGTATTTTATTCCTGGCCAGTATTTGCATAAAGACTCAAAGCAACACTATCGGGGCAAAGGGGTTGGGTGGGGGCTACCTTAATGAAATACGCGTAACAAAATTTGCGTTTTCCATGAATAATGCATGGCTGGCAGGTGGACAGAACTGCAACTGTTGCTCAAGCGCATGTATAATATATACACTCTTTTTTCTTTATTTTTTTGTGACTGAGAAACTGTCGATAAGTATATTTTAGCAAGCCCGAGGTCCAGTGCTAAAACTATAGCCCAACTGCCATTAAGGGGTTAAATAGGAACTGTTTTGCTTCTGTTTTTCTTTTTTTTTTTCTGCTTTTCCTGCTGCTGCTCTGTCGTACTTTGGCTAAAAGTTTTTTTCCGCTGAGTTTTCGTTTTTATTTCGTGCGTCCGCAAATATTGACCGAATTAACAAAAGCTGCTGCAGAAAGTTTCACCGCAAACAAAGGCGAGCAGCAAATGCGGCCCCCTCCTCTCCTTTCCTCAGAATCATGTAAGTGGGTTACTTGGTCCTGCTCCTGTCCCAGGCCCCGTCTCTGTCCCTGTCGCTGTCCCTGTCCTGGGAAGTGTCAACATGTCTTGGCACAAGGCGAGCAGGGAAACGCAGATGGAAAACTTATGACTGACACTAAGCTAATTTCAACACGGCAGAGGTAGATAATAAGATGGCGAGATTCAAACAGAATTTAGTGCTTAAATTAGGTAAAAAAAATATAATATACAACAATTTTATTATTACTATTTGTATGTACAACGTGTTTACACACGCACAGCTCTTTATTTTTAAAGATTTAGTTTGATACGCCCTTTCCCCTTATTTTTTTTATTTTATTAACATTTTTTGTTAAATTAACCTTGATTTCTTTTGGCAGTAAACACAAAATTCTGATATCCATAAACAAAATGTTGGTTTAAGGATTCATTTCAATACAAAACACATATTTTCTATAGCTAGATTTTAAATTTTTCTGAAAGCAAATTTCCATTGAAACAATTTCATTCAATTCGCTTAAACTGCAACTATTTTCAACTCATCGATTTGCATTGCAAAAATATTTTTTCAGAAATTTTACCAAACGAAAATAGTTTCCATTTAGGCTGGAATCTATGGCCAAAGCAAAATAGTAACGAATCCAAAATATATTTCGAACTAGAAAAAATAAAACTAAAGTGGAATTTTACGGCAGGAGAAGCCAAGGGGGCCGAGGGGTATTTTGGCTAAAAAATGCGGACATGTCTAGTATTTGTATTTGGAAATGCCGTGCACGTCCTGCCACGGGGGAACGTGTTTGGTCCTGGGAATCGGGGAGCAGCACAACTGATATATCCACCCCCCTACCGAGGGGCAGTCGGAGCGGAGCATCCGTCCAGTTAGTTAGAAAATCGCAGAGAGCGGTCAGGGGGACGACGGGGGCTTTGAGGTTTGTCGGGTGAAATGCTAAAAGCAAAAAGTCATGCAACTAAATCCTGTCCAAAACGTTTTAAACTCCCAAAGAAGGCGAATAAAAAGGATTTGTGCTAAAAAGCACTGGAAAATGTGAAAGTCAGCGGGGGCTGGTGTCCGAGAAGAAAAGTAAAAGAAAAACTAATGGCAGTGGAGGGACGTCTTAAAAAAAAAGAAATACAAAATGTGTGGTTCGGCCATAACGAACTTAAATGAGCCAAGATGGCATTTTCTTGTCTAGTGACCCGCAAAAGTAGGCAACAGTTTTTGGTAAGTCAGAAATTTGAATAACAAAATGTTGGAGGAATTTTACCAAAGCAAATATTAACCTTAAATATCGACAAACAATTTATTTACCAAGCTATGGCAGTTACATTTCCATAATAAAGTACCTTTTTTAATTTAGAGTACTTAAGTTTCCTTTATTTATTTCTAATTGCCTGTCGTGATCCATCTAATTGAGTTCAAAGTTTACTGAGCTCAGTTGGACCTAATCCAAGTAGAGCACAAAAATATCGGGGATTCCCCGATTACAAATCCTCCGAGTGAAGTCTGTTGGCAAATAAGAACTTATATTGCGTTGAGTCAGCACTAAGTGCAGACTCCAGCATGCAACACTGCGTCCGTGCAATGCAGCTGGTCCGCTTTCCTCTACCCCCTACCCTCTACCCAGAGCATTTTCCCCCCCACACAGCTTTCCACCCCCCTTTAGAGTTGTCAATGACTGTCAGTGGCAGACAAGCAGAAAAGCGAAGCACGACATTGCAGTTGCAGGGGTATCAAGAGTGGAATAAAGATGGGCAGGGAGAAAAACTCCACTCCGCACACCCGACACTAAGCTGGTGACATTTCAATTTTCACACACGCTCTGCGGTTTTCGGCAAACGAGCAGCAACCAACAAAAAAAAAGGAGCCAAGAAAACAGGAAAAACCCCAAAAGAGGGACAGACTCGGAGTGCAGAGAGAAAATCGCAAAAGAAATCAAAGCGATACGATGTGCCTTAAGTGGAAGTCCAAGCAAATGGGCGTTTCTTGGGGAGCAGGGGAAAAGGGGGCGTGGTAACCGCAAGCCGCAAAGTGCAAATTAAAATTCAATAAAGCACAAAAGCACATCTAAGCAGAGTAGAACTTGGTGCCAAATTAAATTACAGTAGACAATCAATGAAGAAAACTAGGGGAAATTTTAAGAAAATTCTAATTCTAATTCTAAATTTATGTATATAAAAAATAATTAATAAAAAAAAATTTTATATATTCTCTGTTAGGTCTAAAATAATATATTTAAAATTACCAAGAATTATTTATATGTTAATTTAAAGTCCAAGTACTCTGGCCCTAGTTATTTGAGTTCTTGGAACTTACTGCTCATTATTTCTCATTAATTTGTAAGACAGACTACCTTTTGGTGGCTGAAATTCAATTTCCACATCGTCTGTTAATTCCAGTTTGGCAGTTAATTCCCATTTCCACTCCCAGAAGTATTCCCTCCCACAAATTGCGTACTAATTAGCCGCAGAAATTGCTCGGTTTCTTGCAAAACAGCAAAGGGGCGTTTGAAATGGTAGTTGGAAACGGGTATGGGGATGTCTGGGTGCTGCCATTGTTAGGCCAGTTCAAGGTCCTTTGACAAGGTCGTCAGGCGTTAGCCAATCAGTCTCCCCACTCTCCAAGGGACCCCCTTACCCCGCCTGCTCGGCCTGTTTCGCTGTTTTCTTTGTGCTGAAAATTGCATGCAAATTTCATAGCTGTGGGGGTGGCGGGCTTTTCAGGCAGGCAACAAAGGCCTCTGAAAATGGGCTTTCTCGCACCCTCCCGTTCCGTTCCGTTCCGCGCAACGTTGACATTGTAAATAAATGGGTGTGACTGTGAAAACTGTGTCAAGCTGCAAGTGCAGCTGAAAACAACAATAACAAAGGGTAACAATAAAAACAATGGCAAACAGGAAATGTGCAAAAATTTGTTTAAAATTTCAACAGCCCGGACCCGAACTCCAGGCTTTTCTTTTGCCCGTGTGTATGCTCATCCTATATGTGTGTATTTTTAAATACTTTTTATTGAGTGTGGTGCGAATTTGGGTTAAGCAATTGCAGAACAATCGCCTGCCACCACAAGCTATTAAAAGTCATTAATAAGTTAAGAAGTTGTGCAGCTTACAAGGAATTAAATTCGGTAATGAAGGGAGAGTAAGTGGACTTTAATTTGACTTTAAAATTCTTTCACAGACAAAATGTCACAAGAATTAAATAAGGTAAGGTGTCTTGAATGAATGTAAACAATAAATACAACTTTATAGATATGTATATCTACTACTTGGATGCCTTAGTTCTTAGCTTCACTTTATATTTATATATCATTCTCCCCGCTTTTGCTGCAGAAATAAATCTAATAAAAGCGTGGCAAGCATATTCATACATCAAGGTGCCACATAATTATTATGAATATAAAACAAAGCGGTATAAGCCAGGAAAGCGGAAAGGTGCACAAGCACAAGGGCAGCATAAAAAATCCCTCAAGTGCATAAATTTTCAAGCGGATTCTTTGGGGTTATAATGCCACACAGTACCAACAACAAGGGGTGCTTGGGGTAAATTTAATATGAACGCTGCACTAGGCAATGAAACAGCTTGTGTGTGCAACTGCAATTGTGCAACACGTTGTGCAAGTGTGCCCTCACACCTGCCGAGATTTTTGGACATGGCTGCATTGCATTTCCCCTTATTTTTCCCCAAAAGCTTTTCCCGAGCTGCTTCTCTCGGTTACTTCCACGCTTTTTATGCTCCTTAACCTTCTTTATTTTTTACATTTTTGTTTTTCTTTGCATCTGTAAGTTGAGATTTTTACAGAGGGAAAAAACTACTTTTATTGTTTATGAAACTAGGAAATAGTTTTACTTTTTGAATTGAATAAAATTTTATTTAATTGATATTAAACAAAATTTATAAAATTAAATACATTCCAGAGAATTTTCTCTTGCTTATCAAATATCTTACATATTATTATATATTACCATATTATTTATCAGTGTATAAAATCGGTGACATTCGGGGGGCAGGAGCCATGTGCCGCATAAAAAACCAAAAAGTGTCGCCGGGACGACAAGGAAGCTACAGCTTCTGCTGCGCTTCTCCGGGCAGAAGTTTGCTTCAGCTTCAGCTTGAGCAAATAAAATTTTTGCCAAGCTCTGCAGGTGTGCCCCCGAGGTGAGTTCGGGGAGGGAAAACTGATGGGGCGGTGGGGCGTGACCCCTGCTATTAGCCTGGTTCGCATGCCAACTGAAGTGGCAATAAGTGCCATGCATATTGTCGCCGGCAGCTGCCGCTGCCACCGCTCCTGACTCTGTTTCGCAGGGGCAGGCGAGGGTTAAGAGATTGCGAATGCAAGTTAGCTGGCAG